AGGGGGCGGGGCCAGTGGCGCTGCGGCAGGCATGCTACGAGCAGGCACGAGGATGCCGAATAAACGTGAGCGTGAGGTGCATCTCTTGAGGGCTGCATGCTGTGATCCAGCTGCGTGATGGTTGAGAGAGCATTGATGGTCTCGAGTGCACAAGTCCATTGTTACTTATGAAAGTGGGCCGAGGCGAAGCCTTGGCGATCGGTTTTAGGGGGTTCCTGTCTTTATGGTCCCAGCCGCTGCAGGCGATGCTGAATGGTGGATGGCAGGGCGGCGGTGCAGGTATGGTGGGGGGCTTAGTGTGGGTCGTCCAAGGTCACCATGTCCAAGGCATACGAGAGGCCTGCATGCCTACTGCATTGCCTTTGCATGCATGTGCTGTTGCAGTTTTGAAATATATGCCTACGTGGCCTTCCAGGATCTCAGATGCGTGTGATGAATGCGCGCTGACCCACGGCAGCACCGTCCGGCTCTCTTCCATAGCTGCAAAGGCAATGCTGGGTGCAACGCCGCAGCGCAAATGCCACTATCACATATCTTCTTCGTACTTAGCTGAAATTGAGCGCTATTCCCGCTCCAGATCGGTAGGCCGAGCTTGCCGTAGGTTTATAACAAATTGCACAGCAATTATCCGACGATCGATCAGACGAACTTGATTGCTCAGTGCACGGCTTAGCGACGCTCTAGCAGGTGCGGCGCCCTGATGGCAGTCGGCCTCATGCACGCAACCAGTCATGCAGCCAGTGCCAAACGGATTGTTGCGCCTGAGAATAAGCAGAAGGATTGCACGCCCCTTGCAAGCTGCGGCTGGCGGTCGGCGCACTCCCGCTTGCCATGCCGGCAGGGCATGCTTGCCATGCACTCAAGGCAGCATGCCGCCTTGCCCTTGCCACGCCAAGACTCCAGCTGCAAGCCACGATGGCGGACGACTGGGAGCAGGAGGACTGGGAAAAGGAGGACTTTACGCCCGTGCTGCCGGGCGCGGCAGCTGCAGTCCAAGCAGGGGCGGAGCAGAAAGCCGCCGAGCCGACTTTCGAAGACGAGGACACCGAGCCGCAGCCTGAGAAGGAGCACACAATCAAACCTCAGGTGCGCGGCTTGCATCTTGATCTGGATGTCTTGGCTTTCACTGATGCGGCGGATCTGACAAAATTCGGCCGCAAGGTGGAGCCAGCAGCGGAGCTGCTCGACTGCAGCCGCGCTTTGCTACGCGCGCCCTGCGCCGCGCGCTGATGCGTGTGCGACACATATGCGACTCATTTTATGTGACTGAACACGCGCAGCCCAAGAAAAAGGTGGAGAAGAAGTACGACAGAGGGGAGGTCGTGGACGAGCCTCTGGACGACCCGGTGGCCGAGAAGCTGCGGAGGCAGCGGTGAGAAGCTGCCGCTGCCGCGTCTGCGAAGTGCGAGGGGGGGCCCGCGCTGGCCGCAGGGCAGTGCAGCGGAGATTCCACCGCATCCTTCACTGTGCGGGGAGTGGCTGGCTGCAGGGGACAAGGCGGCCAAGGGAGCAGCTGCTGTTTGGCGGCTGCTGTTGTGATGCTGGGACAAGAACGGGGTGACGAGATTGATGAGACCTGAGGGGGTTCCTAGGAACTGACATGAGGGGCACAGCAACGGGTCGCAGCCAGGGCAGGGTGTTCTGGTCTGGTTCCGAACGGGGAGGGCGCGCCTTGTTGGGGCCTCCCCCGTCGGGGAGGCCCCCGCAGGGGCAGCGGAGAGCTGCAGAGCCGCGGTGGCGTTCAAGAGGGTGTCAAGAGTGCAGGGACAAGGCGGCAGCGGGAACGTGACAACACACGAGGGCTGCTTGAGGCGGGGGCGGCGG